TACAGTACACAGTACTTTATTCTCTAAGTCGTTACCCACTTTTAAATGTGAAGCATTTCCTGCGAATTGTGCTTGCCTAACACCTCGCAACGCTCAAAAAGGGGCACGCAGCCGAAACCTCGGCAGTGGATTCCGAGGTGTCCTTGAACCACATTGTGCACATTATTATTTTGCTCTCTTAAACGGTCATTGAGGCACCTTCCGGTTCAAAGCTTTGTACGTTGGTGAACAATCCAGCTGCAATTAGAGTAAGATTCACTGTGAAACACAGAACGTGCTTTGTACGTTGTGTTATTGGTGTCGTATCTTATTCCGCTATCGTGTGGAATGATACATAGAGCAAACTGGAAGGTGCCGCAATGACCGTTTAAGACCGGTCAATGACCGTTTAAGTGAAGAAAGAAAACGTTGCTTCCTAGTCTGGTTCTGGGCAAAACGTCAACTCCTGGCCGTCTGTTATTTCGCTGGTAGCAATATATCTTCGTGTATAGAAACGCCGAATGTATATATAGCCTGGGAGGTTGGATATATGCACTGCCAAAAGTTGTAACCACTGCATTTCCGGGACGTGTTCAGAACCACCAGAGTCGTTGAGAACTTTGTATAGTACACAAATGTTTAAAAAATCAGCATTGTTTTTAGCGGCAGCATATCTTACAGTGGAAACAACATACCGTCTAATTTCTAGTTTTAATGCCTCATTCGACGCTAAATTTCACTGTATTAGAAGTTCCCCAAATTTCCTTCAAACTAACATCAGTCTGAATACGTATTCAACCGTCACGACCGCATTTATGATGTTTCACAGCTTCAGTTCTCTGGCCAGTAACAGTATTCACGAACTCTAGCTGCACGAGCATATACTTCAAACGCGAGCAATAGAGCTCGTGTCGCAAGCATAACTGAGCCTAATAGTGCAGGCAGGCAGGCGGCCAGCCGCCCTTGTCCGCACGTTCTCGCATATAGTTCTTACGCCGAGTGCAAGGCTCCTCATGCCCACGCCACGTGATTTGATGACTTTCTTTTTGTTTACTTTTGTTGCGTTTATTGGATTGAAAATTCAGTTTAGAGTCGGCACATGTGGTGCGCACTTGTTCTAGTCCTTTGTCCTTTTTGTGGGCTCTGCACAGTCCTACTCATGCTTCTTGTGCTGAGGCGATAACTACTCTGCTGCAGCGTATCTCAGAAATAAGCAAACGGTTGTCGAACAACAAGCTACCATATATCAAGACAAAACGCTTATTTTCTTGATGTTCACACTTTCATAAGAAATAGAGGAGCCGGAGCGGTGTATTCATCTGATGGAAGCTATACAGAAAATAGAAAAGGTCGACAAGACGCTTAACGAAATCAAGAGCCAACCCCTCCTCCCTCTATTTATATGCGAAATACTTCTCAGGCAACTTCGGTGGCTTTGAGCGTATCTATCTATCTTTCTATCTATCTATCTCTATCACTATCTCCATCTCTATCGATCTCTATCTCTATATATCCACCTATCTCTATCTATCTCTATCTATATATCTATTTCTATCTTTATCTCTATATCTCTATCTCTATCTTTATCTCTATCTATCTATCTCTATCGATCTAGCCACTTACGACCTTTAGCTCATGACATATATGTCATGAATGTCATGATTTACATTTTTTGGTCTTGCTTCTCTTGCGGTGGTTTCGTTCACATGACATTTTGCAAAACTGGTATGGTATGACATGGCTGCATGGCGAACATAAGAGATGGATTCTAACGTGCTAGTCATGACATGCATGTCCCGAGTTTCATTTTATGACTAGTCATGACTACACGCCACGCTCATGGTGCTCTGGTGGTCGTTTCGCTAGCTCCACACATACCGAACTTGGTATTACGGGACGTGAATGGAGCAGGAATGTACATGACTGGTGCAAACACAGTAATCATGAAATGCTTGTCATGTAAGAACATGACTGCATGATTGACTGATATACAAGGTTTAACGTCCCAAAACCACCATATGATTCTGAGAGACACTGTAGTGGAGGGCTCCAGAAACTTTGACCACCTGGGGTTCTTTAACGTGCCCCCAAATCTGAGCACATGGGCCTACAGCATTTTCGCCTCCATCGAAAGTGCAGCCGCCACAGCCAAGCTTCGATCCCGCGACCTGCGGGTCAGCCACCTTGTACCTTAACCACTAGACCACAGCGACGCGGAAGAACGTGACTACATGCCACGCTCACATATACCAAATTTGGTGTTGCGTGACGTCAATGAATGACAAATGTATATGACTGGTTCAAACATGATAATCATCACGTGAGTGTTATGTAAGAACATAACAACATACCATGCTCATTATGCGCTCCTGGCTCTTTCGCTAGCTTCACATATACTGCACTAGGTATTACGGGACGTCAATGGATGACGAAGTTAATGACACGTCCAAACATGATAATCCATACATGCATGTCATGTAAAATATCACTACATGCTACGCCCATAGCGTGCTCGCGTTCGTTTCACTTGTTCCACATATACAAAATTGGGTGTTACTTGACTTGAACGGATAGCGAAGGTAAATTACACATCCATACATGACAATCTTGATATGCGTGTCATGTAAAACATGCATACATTATACGCTCATCGCGCGCTCGCGGCCGTTTTGCTAGCTCCACATATACCAAATTCGCTATCGCGTGACGTGAATAAGCGACGAAGGTAAATGACTCGTCTAAACACAGTAATCTCGGCATGCGTGTGATGTAAAAGATGTCTACATGCCACGCTCATGATGCGCTCGCGGCTATTTAGCTAGCTTCACATATACCAAATTTGGTGTTACGTTACGTCAATGGATTGCAAAAGTATATGACTGGTGCAAACATGATAATCATGACATGAGTGTCATGCAAGAACATGAAAACATACCATGCTCATGATGCGATCGCGGCCCTTTCACTAGCTTCACGCATACAGAATTTGGTATTAAGTGACGTGAATGAACGGCGAAGGTAAATGACACATCCATACATGATAATCTTAATATGCGTGTCATGTAAAACATGAATACATGCAACGCTCATTGCGCGCTGGCGGTCGTTTCACTAGCTCCATCTATACCAAATTTGGTATCTCTTCACCTGAATAGACGACGAAGATAATTGACACGTCCAAACATGATAAGTATGACATGCGTGTGATATAAAACGTGACTACTTGTTACGCTCACAGCATGCTCGTGGCCGTTTTGCCAGGTCCACATGCCACGTCACGTGAATCATGGTGGCAGTGATGCCAAATTTAGTATCACGTGACGGTAATAGTGCTGCTACACTTCTTCGAAGAAACGAAGATTTGTGACCACTACTGAGCAGACTATAGTTAAAGTTGAGCGCGGCGACTACGTGTTCTGCCCATAGAACTTTTGCACTGACCTATTCAGGACTGTATATATGCTATTTTGCCTTCTTTTGTATTCTTCATTTGTAACAATCAAGTGAAAAGGGGTAGCCGTGTCACCAAGTAACGGAGACTGAAACTCCTTCGTTTATTTTCTATTTCAATAAAAAATAGTAAAGGCGACGAGGGTAAATGACACATACAAACATAATAATCATGGCACTGAAGGCATGTACGGCATGATTTACGTCCGCCTCGTAACGTTGTGCTGGTCTTAAAGTGACATATCAACCTTCCTCATTCGTTCTTCGCGTATCATCGATTCCGACAGTACCTGGAATCTGCCAATGTTTTCCCTGCTGCAGGGACTGCGCTTATACATAAAATACTTTCTTTCTAAAGCTCGTGTAAGATCATTGTACAAGACAAAATCATTGGTCGTTCCACTGCATGAAGATGGTCTATAAGAGAAGATGAGTAATGTTTCTTTGAAACGCTTACTTACATGTCGCATGCAGAGCCCCGTCAATGCCAACAGTTAACTGAAATCTTTTTTGGCAAGGCGAAGCTCCCTATGCCATGGGTAGTGCGGCCACTATGTATTTAGTAGTAGTAATAGTATTAGTAGTAATCCTAGTAGTCGTTAGCCACGTCCACAGCCGGACGCGCGGCACGCATGCACCCTTTTCAATTGAGGAAACCCAGACACGTTAATCATAAACAAAAAGATCGTTGTTGCTGATGAAGTAACTTACAGAGATGAGTACTGGTATTTAATCTCCAATAAAACTTGCCTTTAGTTTGATGCTATCTAAAAAAACTAGTATCAGAAGGACGCACTTAGAGTGCTATCTGACCAGAAAGCGTTACCTCGTTAAACTCGCTGGGCGTAACCCTTTGGTTTTAGCAAGCGAAGGTTGGACCGCAGTGTCATGAATATAGTGAACTACAGTATATACCCAAGAACTAGAGGCGGTGAAAGGTAGGAAGTAGAAACGAAACGCAGGCCGAAAGAAAGTGCGCGAGTGCCACCTCTCGTTTAGTCTTTGGAATATCCGCTAGATGGCGGTACTTTTATATGCTGAATATATGATGAAAACATGGGAAATGGCGGTACTTGAAGTGTTCACTAGATGGGTGGATAAACGGACGTACGAATGGACGCACAGGCGGATAATGCACGAACGGACGCACGAACGGACTGATAGATGGACGCTTCGCCCACTCATTATGATGCACTCCGTTGATATGATGTGATAAGAAATAACTAATGCTTGTTCTAGCGTTGCATTATATTCAATGTTGAAGTACGTGTACCTATTATGGAGCTAATGTTTACTTGAGCACTCTACCCACATTCGATACTTCTTACCAACTTTGCGAATATAAACACTTAAATATAGCCATTTAGAGAGGGCTAAAATATACGTGATTCTCGCGGGTATAGGCAACATTATTTTTCGTTTTTACGAGCACCCTTTCCTTCTGTGTTTTATCCACGCTCGACAGTCTATATTTTATTATGTTAACATAGTTTGTCCGGAAACAAACAGGCTTGCTATAATTACCAATACATGCTGACGAAGTATTTGTTTGAATCCCCGCTCTGGCGCAGCCCTGCGGCCGCTGCTAGATGTCATGAGCTGGCGCAGTGCCGACAGGCCAAAAGACTACTACCAGGAACGTCGTCGAAACGGGGCCGGCCGGGAAGACTTCGAAGAGCCCTGCTATTGCGGACCACCGTCATCTCACGGGCAAAGATTTGGTGGTCAGACAAGTAGGCGAGGTCACGGCCCCCCAAACAGGTTCGTCGACTACTTAATCGCGCGGGCAACCTTCAGCGTTTGCAGTCATCCACCGTTGGTTCGTGACCTAGGCAAGCCTGTTAAATCATTGAACGCATGATGACGATTTTTTACGCGTTTGCAAGGAACAAGTATGTATGATGGATATGGCGATGTATTCTAAATGAAGGAAGGCCTTAATCATGCAAGGTAAGCGTCCGCGAGAAGTTTATCTTTCCCGTATTAAATAACGCGATAAGAATATGGCTGACAGTGGGTGTCCATTCTGAGACGACTGGGAATCATGGATGGTGCTTCATTAATCGCATCTGTCATATTCAACCTTTTACCCCAACCCATCTACTTTCGTTTTCGCTGAATCCCTCATTATTTTTTAGTGATCACTGAATTTCATTTTGTTAGGGTTTGTTGCCCATCAAAACACGGCTGACCTCTCTTTCTAAAAATTGATGTAACACAGAAGTGACACGTGTCTTCCCAGAGGTAGTTGAGAATTTATCAGATGTAAACCAGTTATTTGATTCACGTGTGTAACGCCGTACGTACTTACGTCCGTACGAACGCGCCGCAACGTGTTCCCTGCACCACAGATCTTGTATCGGTGCCAAGTAGGTCACGCCGCTGCCGGGCGTTGACGTCACGCTCTTTTGGCAAGTGCGCGCTTTCGTCTCTCTCTCGCTCACCCGCAGCATGGTCGCCGCAGCGCCCGCAGCTGCCGGCTCCTCCACTCACTCCCAACACACTTCTCTTTCACTTAACCCTCTCCACCACCCGCAAAGGTCGACCACACGTCGAGTGGAAACACTCTTTTGGCTCGTTTATCTGCGGTGAAACTTACATAAAACGCAACCCGCCACCCATGTTTTTTTTTCTGAGTTTCAGAGAAACGTACTCGAGTAAATGCTACATTGAGTTTCGCTTCACATCTTTCTTCTAGCCCCCGTGTTGACGCCCACTTCACCCGGACGCCCACTTCACCGCTGCTGCTTTGCATCCAATTACGGGTCCCTTTGGGGAGATAGTTCATAATTTTGTGCATTGTTTTGCCACAAGGGCGACAGAATGAATGCTAGAGCAACAAATGGACCTCTTTCTGTTTGCAAACAACGTGATATCATTGCGCCGCCCACCATCCCCTTTCTCGGAGCAGGTGCTGCTTGGTAAGAAAGTTCCGTCCGCGGAATGATTGTGCATGGCAGCGCTACGTGTGTATGCATTCCTTCGACAGAAATTTCTGTGGTTTGTTATTCTCTAAAATCACAGCTTTCAAAAAGAAGCGTTGCTGCATATGGTGCACAATTCTGTTGATTAAAACGTAGTATTTTGCGTGTCGTAGATGGCAGTCATACACATGCTACGCCTAATGTAGCCATTGTGACATAAAGTTTAAGCTTTGAAAAAAGAAGAAAAAAGACTGGCCCGAAACACCGCACTACTATACCACGCTTAGCCACCAGCGTGGCTGCTTTGCCAACCACCGCCTTCATGTGCGCGGTGACGTCACGCTGTGACGTACCCTGGTAGAAGTCTATTGCGGCAAGCTTATCGAAACTGCCACGCGCACCTCAAGCAGAAAGCACGCACTAAATGAGCATACGCATGATGAGCGAGCTGTCACAGCTCTACACTTGAAGCGCGCTGTTCGAATAGAAAATAAGACGCACAAAATGAACACACAAGCATACTCAGGACACGCATGAACAACAGTCACAATCCTTCTTCGTGTATGAGCAGCGTGCTTCTTTCGTAAACGTGGCCGCGGCAGCGAGCGGAATCACCTTTGTGCTCTCCTGATTGACGAGTTTGATAAGCGTGCGCGCAGGGGAGATCAGGCTAAACATGCTCCGTGAGGGCGGCACCCATTCAAACGCTAGAGTCATGAAGGAAGGAGGAGACAACCATCAGAGTGTGCACGACGCTACTCAACGCTACCCAACACCCAACGCTAGGCGCTGCGCCGTTCTCCCTACCAGGATGCAGAAATTAGGTGCCTTCTTTCTCTTCTAACCACTACCACCACACCCAACGCTGCTGAGTCTTCATATGCGTGCCGCCTCCGGAAGAGGCGCGCACATGAAGGCTCCCTTAATGTACTAGATGAAACAAGTTTCATCTAGAGACCTTAGGCTTCCTACCCAACGCTAAAGCACCTATATTTTGAAAAGATGGACAGAGTAAAGGTTCTTTTCTTCCCGTGAAGTTCACGCGAGATATACTTGGTGATGAAGCTCGGCGGGGATGAAGTATTTGACAGGAGACATTCAATGATTATAAGCAAACTGTATTACATTTACATCGGGTACTTACAAGTTGGAAGACTAATTTGCACTTAATAATGGGTGCAACCAAGAGGCTCTCACTCTTCTACACATCACTTGATGTTAGAGCCCAGGGCACTGCGAGGAAGTACGCAGGACAGAGCCTCGCCGTTCTACCACATCAAGGTTACAAGCCCAGACTGCTCCTCCACGGTCCATTCCGCGGTGTTTACAATCAAAGAACACAAGGGAGAGAGAGAATGATACGAGGGACAAAGAGTTTGGCTTAGCGCGAATGGCGTTGCGCTTTCCCCTGCTGCTGACACCGGTCTCCAATTGACCCCGCCCGCGGCTCGTATTCCAAAGAGCATGCGTCTGCCGGCTTGAGTCTCTCTTGCGCGCGCAGGCACACTCTCAAGTGCGCTTATAGTTGGTGGGGGAGGGGGCAGTCAATTCTCCGATTTGTGTGTGGGACAAGGCCTCAGTTACCGGAGACGAGTTTTGGGCCTGTAAACCGTTCATTGGGCTGACACTCAAGAGAGCGTGACTTCTCGTCGGCGCCATCCATTCCTGGTCCGAAGACCATGACGCTGTGCGGCGTAACTCAAGCCCGGCCCTACACGTTCCCCCTAGGTGTATAACTCAGCTCTGGGTCTGTTCAGTTAGCCTAAACATAACAGGCCGAGATATTGCAACTGTAAAGACTAGACGCTCTTACACTCCCCGTTCCAAGACGATGACGCTCCAGGCCATAACTCATCCCTGGCCTTAGACACTCTCCTGCGCGCACACGTTTTCCTCCTAGACTCTCATCAAATTTTTACCCTCTTTTGGTCTGCGCAGCATTAAACCCTCCACTGACTCACTGTAGCCGTTTTAGATACAATGCGCGTGCTTGTTTATTCGGCTCTTTGAAACATAATACAAAGTTCCGTCACTTGAAGAAAGCGCCTGGACGAAAGTAGGCTTCAGGTGGAACACAGTGGCTTATATTATTTTTATGGCACTTGGATGAATACAAGCGTAAGCACTTAAAAAAAAAAGTACCAACTAGCCGCTGAGGGGTTTACGCCGTCCACGCTTCGGCTGTTCGTAAAGCGGAAGCGTGTTTCTGCGCTATAATGTAAGCACATCAAAAGCTTAGACTGAATTGTTTATTTATCAATTGTTGTACTGCTGAGCTCAAAAAGGCAGACTAAAAACAATGTGGTGAGTTACCTAATAAACTCACCAAAACAAGAGGACCCGACGCCCTTTTATACCAGCATCGACGCGAAAAATTTATCTCTTCGTGGCGAAACTTCGAGATTGTTTAAGCTATAGACACATCTGAAGACCATCGAGATGAAGAAGTGTGAGCAATGTGCCCATTTCCAGAAACTGCTCTAGTTTTGTTCCGAAGCAGGACTCACGTGATCATGTAAAATTGTGTTGGGATTGGTTATCTTCGGCTCGGCTGATTGGTCTGTATACGCCGTTTTCCAATGGGTGCAAGACAGTGGTCTTCTGCGTGGTGCACGCACCCGTGGATGCCGAAAAACCCCATTTAGGCAGCGACTCTGGCTCTTTTTGGGCTGAGCGGGCTCGGGGTCAACAGCACATCTCACCACCGGAGACCACTCATGCAAGCCGAGGGGTATGCCATCATTTTCTATGTTTTGTATTTGTGACTCAGTGCATTGTGTTAAATTAGGTTGTATTAGATGAATAAACCGCCAATGACTGCTCCCCTAGATCATCATGTCGACTTGTCATCGCTTGCCTGTGCGAAATTGCTCCCACACTTCTTTATATCGATGGTTTTCAGATGTGTCTAGCCTAAACAACCCCGAAGTTTCACTACCAAGTGCATACTTATGTGCTTCTAAAAGAGAAAAGAAGAGAATAGTGAGCCCCGTAACTGTCTGAATCGGAGGGCGACACCTCAACAGTAGCTCACGAGGGAAGGGGGGGGGGGGGGTAAGGAGGAATTAAAAGGTAGGATTAAAAGGTAAAAGATACAGAGGAAGGAGAGATTGAGGCGCAGGGACAGCGAACGACAGAAAACGACGGAAGTAAGGTGGAGATAGGAAAGATGGACACGGTCGTAGGAGTCCGGGCACAACTCGGCGAGAGCTTTTGTCGGTGTCAGGAGATGGCGTAGGGCGAGCCCAGTCGGCCAGAGCTGTGCTGTCGTCGGAGATCACGGGGGCACAACCGGTCGCCACAAAATCCAGAGAGTGAGTCCCCACAAAGTGCACACACTCGACTCGGGGTAAACAGCGCATTTCAATACCAGAGACCAGTCGTTCAAAGTGCGTACCGTCCCTGGTATTGAGATGCGCTATTAACTCCGAGTCCGCTTAGCCTACAAAGAACCCGAGTTACGACTTTTCTCCCTCTTCGAGAAAAGTCGTAAAACAGCGCCTCTAACAAGCGCGTCTGACAGAAGAAACTCCAGCAGTAGTTGAAAGAAAAAAAGCTTTCTGCGGGACATTCCCTTTGCAACACTCGTGTGAACAAATTGCCCGAGTAGAAATAATGCGCGTGCATGTAGTCCGTCTCAATGGATTGACGAGATATTGTATTCCGTTATATCTGCGACTTACCTCAGTCTTCTGCCGCCGCCGCCGTGGTCTAGTAGCTAAGGTACTCGGCTGCTGACCCTCAGGTCGCGGGATCGAATCCCGACTGCGGCGGCTGCATTTTCGATGGAGGCGCAAATTCTGTAGGCCCGTGTGCTCAGATTTGGGCGCACGTTAAAGAACCCCATGTGGTCGAAATTTCCGGAGCCCTCCACTACGGCGTCTCTCATAATCATATGGTAGTTTCGGGACATTAAACCCTACATATCAACCAATACCCCAGTCTCCTAAAAAGAAAAAAAAGTAACGGACTGCTAATACAAAACCTTTCAACACTATGGTACCATATAGTTAAAGTCTATACTTACAAAAATACATGCACTCTCTGGCGTGTACGTACACACGGAAATACGCGTGCAACGGCTTCGGGGGAGAAGACCAGTAGAAGGTAGCAAAGGTGAGGGCGAAATGTGTGATCGCGACGTTTCGATAATCTAACGCATCTAACTACGTTATTACGGCACTGTTTCGAAAAATTATGTCGGCTACGTGTTCGTTATAGACCCGTGTATAACTTCCCACCACAACTACATTTCGGACTCTGTATGATGTAGGGGCCCTTCAAAGGTCGTCGCCCCATGCGTCGTGATGCGTGCGCACCATGCACTATATAGGGGTGATCGCTCGTCAGCACCCGCTTATTTCCTTCGTGTGGGCAATTTGTATGTCTAGTGCTTTGACCACAAGTTTTCGTTGAAGTTACGAATCATGGAGGTCGCTTCGCTCGCTGCAGTAGCCGCTTTTCTGAAAGTATCGCTCTGCTCACACTCAAAGATCTAACAATTGTGAAATGTTAGTTCATGGCTTAGCGCTCATTCAGTGTTTACCTGTGCGTTCCTTTTGTGCGTCCTACTTTGTGTTTACACAGAGCGCTGTAAGTTTCCAGCTGTCACGGTTTTTGGCAACGTTGGTTGTTAGTTCGCGCTCGTGCCTGGTATGTTCTTTTTATGAGTGCTTGAAAAGCACGCTAAACGTTTCGAGCTTTTTGGCGTTCCCCGCGTGGCAATATAACTGCTGCTAAAGCATTTATTCTGTCACCCTCGGGGTGAAACAGTGTACAATAAACGCTCAACTACCTCTGCGAAAATACCTTTCACTTTCTTGTTAACTGGTTCGTACGCTGAGTGATCGGCGATGTTTTTTTTTTTATTTCTTTGTGATTCTATCTTCCCAGAAACTTCCGTCTTATATGGGTTGCCAGTTATGTGGAGTCAATGCAGCTCGGCTTGGTTGACCTATCTGACTCTCTTCATGCCTCTGTCTCTCTCTTTCGTAGGTGCCATGTGTAAGCTTTGTTCTTCTAATGCTTTTAAATCATTAGCTTGTTGTTGTTTATAGAAGTATGACGGGAACAATTGTCTTTCTACTATCCTGAATCACCAGAATTTAAAAGTAATGGAATCAATGTCATTAATTGTTGAATATATGGTTGAGAAAATCCATTTAGCATAGATGCCTACGCTGAGCTCTTAAGAACTTTAGCTCATCTTGTTGACTTTCAAGAAAGTTGCCACATTCGGTTGATTCGTGTTTATTGTGTTTAATTGTGCAACAAGCATCCAGCTTCCGCGAGGAATCTCAGGTGGCATCATTACTGGGTTGAAAACTGGGAATTTCAACTAGGTGAAATGCCTCTACAAGTGCCGTATTTTCAGTTGCGTGGAGACTCTAGACCCACAAGAGTAACCTGTTCAGTCGGATATATTTTTATGACGCAACCATATGAGCTTGCTTTGTTGGGTTGTGACTTCAAATGAGTGGTATAATTTAGTTTCTTAGGCGTAATAAATCGAGAATTTGAGCAGACATTACAAAACACAGTTCTCACTGCACCCTTTTGTTTAATTGTTGCTTTTCATTAGAATGAAACCTTAGGCATTCCTGCGGTCTCTCAATTGAACTCACATTTTCGTTTCTCCAGCTATAACTACGACCGTGGGCGTCAATACGATGCCAGCAGAGGAGGCCGACACGGCGTTTACCCGGCTGATGTGCATCAACGTTACGGCTACAGTGGGAGGGGCGGCTACCACCGACAGCAATACGAGAACGCTCCGCCCCACGATCCCTACGAACGCAATGTGCGAGGTCATGCACGGCACTACCGTGGCCGGCCTCCTCGAGGCGTTGTACATCCGGGAGTATGTACAACGTCTCGAGGGGGATGGAGCCGCTGTTCAGATGCCCTGGTTCATCATCGAAAAGGCAACGCCCCTTTGACCGCCGGCGAAAGCCTACTGAACTTCAAGCGAACCGTGAATCGTATGAACAGTGATTACGACCGGTCGGTGCTCTCCGAGAGTTGTGCGTACAGCGTGTCCGAGACCGGCGATGCGAGGAGTCAGTACAATGAAGACAACTACGCTGCCCACTGGCACGGTGACGGCGCAGGCGGTACCACGTCGTCGCCGTCGCGCGATGACTCCATTGACTGCAAAGAAGCCGTCAGGCGTGGTGGTCCTTTGCCGAGGGACGTTGGCTTCCGGCGGCGTGGTCGTCCGTTCGTCGCCCGCGGCGTCTCGTCATTGACCAGCTTGATCAGCGTCTTGTGGGACATCGAGAACTGCGCCGTTCCCAACGGAGTTCCAGCGTACCAAATTGTGCTCAAGGTGCGCCAGACGTTTTACGTGGGTTACCGTGAGGGGGACTTCGTCGTCGCCTGCGACACCGCGCGCATGAGTCCCACCGTGGTCGCCGAGTTGAACGAGGCGCAGGTGACGGTCATTCACGTGCCGGGCGGCCAGAAGAACGCAGCTGATGACAAGCTTCGCACGGTGCTGCGCCGTTTCTCCGATGCGCACAAGCTGACCAACTCGCGCATCGTGCTCATTTCCGGCGACGGGGACTTCGCGGCCGAAATTCACGAGATGCGCTACACCAACCTCATTGAAGTTGTGCTCATTCACAATGAACAGGCAAAGAGAGCTTTGAGGGACGCGGCGACCGAAAGCATCAGCTACAGGGAGTTTCTGGCGGACCTCAGCAATCGCAAGAGAAGTGCACCAAAGGTTGTGAGAACATTGCAGTTTGACACGCGAAATGAAGCAAAAAACAAGGGCACAAAACAAGACCTGAAGAAGAGTGTCCCAGCAGTCGTTGACTACGATAAAGAAAGGCAAATGAGGGATGAATTGACAAACACAGAGATGCGAGCTGAAGAACAAAGCGCACTTTCGCCCTCCTACCGCACCAAAGTCGGATTGCTCGTTGCCAGAGAGCCGATGAACGCTGAATTCTGGAAGCGGTACTTGTCGCGCTTGAACATACCAAAAGACTTTACGCTAGAGGTCGGTCACGGTGGCAAAGACGTGGTTTTTCTAGTTTATCCCAGCTTCAACAAGGCAAAAAAAGCGGTTGAAATCCTCAACAATCAGCCTGTCGATGATGCGGACATGCCAGCATGCTTGGGGATAATTTCAAAAGAAACAGATGAACATGTCGAAATAGCTACGGTATAACAGCCAAGCCGAGCGACCAGGGTTAAATCTGCAGTAGCTGCTCACAAATCAAAGCTCGAGGCTGTCAGAAATAAGATAGTTTGCCTCGACGGACAAAAACGAATCTCGGCACTGTTAAAGGCGGCGTACGAAGATCAGGCCGCCATTTACGAGGCTCAATTGGCACAGTTCTTGAAGACCATTTCAGACTTGCCGCAGTCGCCACAGAAAGCTGACAATGCCACAACCACCGAAATCGCCAGGCTGAAGAGGGCTTCGGTTGTTTACGGCGTCAAGTCAAAAATTCTCAAGACCTTGTCCGAGCGCCAAGTGCTGTTCGTGACATCGTCACCAGGATCCCGAACCGCGCTCGAAGTGGCGTCGTATGCGCAAGACTTGGACCTACGCGTCATCAGTGTGCAATTCAGTGATCTGTCAGCCGAGCAGTGCTCGAAGAACGCCGTGTCCATGAGCGGGTTAGGCCCCGTGCAGTGCTGGCTGAATCCCAAACAGCCGATCAAGTCTGAATGTACAGTTGTTGTGACCAGCGCACGGCACTTTTTTCAGGAGTTTGTGCGCCGTGAAGTGGACTTCTCAGACTTCAAGGTCATCATCGTGGATGAGCTGGAAAAAGAGAGCGCTTACCAGCGTGTTGCTCTGGCAATCATTCGCAAGCATTTTGTGTCTCGGGTCAGCGTCATCCTGTGCGGCAATGAATCCGATGCTTGTACACAAATTCAAGAAGAGCTTTTTCTGAAAAGCCAGGATGTCGTCCGGGGCGCCCTCACGTTTCCTGTAGAAATCATAAATAAAGAAAAGCCCGCAAACAGGGTGATGGCATGTATCTCCACTGCTTTAGAATTCTGCCAGACATCCGAAGTGTTCGTCGGTGGCGACGTTCTAGTGTTTCTTCCATCTCTTGCAGACGCTATCCTCGCAGACGGCATCTTGCGTCATAAAATTAGGGAGGAAGACATTGGCGTGCCAATCACGCATGAAGTTTTGTCCACCTCTTCACCGGCTTCCCCTCAATCACCACGGAAAGGATGCTGGAGGGTAATCTTCACGGCAGAATGTCCCGACGCTGTCTTGAGTACACTGCAGGTGCGTTGCGTCGTTGACAGTGGACTAACACTGAGGACCATTTATCAGAATGGAACATTTGTTATGCAACTCGCTTGCGTAACAAAAGTCGAGGCTGAAAAAAGGAGAACTTTGGCGGGACAACATGAAAGCGGCACATGCTACCGCCTCTACGACAAACCTGCACAAAGCTATTCACTACAAGCCGACCTATACGACTCAAAGTACTTAGAAGACATCGTTCTTCGTCTTTCTACTCAAAAGACAAGCTCCGACACATTCATTCTCGATGAGCTCTTCTCGAAGTCACTGCTGGAACAAGTAAAGTCTGCATTGAAACAAATTGAGGCGTTCGACAGTCAAGAACAAATGACTGATCTTGGTGCTAGGCTGTGTCAAATTAGCCTTCCGCCTCGGGTTGGTATGCTTGTGCTCCGCTCCATTGGCAAGGCTCCATCCATAGACGCTGTCCTTTTATCACTCCTAGTTTTCGAAGACATGCTTCTTGCATATAGACCGCTGAAAGAAGATGGAAGTCAGCACGACTTCCCGGTGTCTGAGGGAGCCAGCGTTTTCTCTGGGGTGATTCAAAGGTACAAGGACTGGCTGGTTGTGCCCAAGAAAATGAAGAGATCTTGGTGCGATGTGAATGGCGTTAACGAAGCCTTCATGACCTACCTTCACAATGCAGTTCAAAGGGTGCAGCAGGAATTCACTGAGTTCCAGGGCAGAAATCTGGGCGCCGATTGTGCAAAGGAAGAGAAAACTGCTACAATCACGTTAAGTGAACTGCTCGCTCAATCGTTTCCCGAAGGCGTGCTCGAAGCGTGTGAGCATGGTTATAAACACCCTATTTTCGGCGATGAATTGCAAGTGTCACCATTGTCGCTATTTGACACCGAGGCGACAAAGCCGCAGAAGGTCGTTTGCTGTCTATTTGCTCAGGTTTGTGGCGAGAAGAACGTGAAACTGCTCAACTTTGCCGCCTTGCCGGAATCATTTTGTAAGCGCGAAAGGGACTCCCAAACTTCGCTTGATGATCCAACGCTTCCAGAAATTGTGGAAATGTTCGGGCCTGTGGGTAAGCTCATCTGGAATCACCAGTTCAACTCAAAGCACTCACTTCAGGCCATCGAGGAGAAGCTGCGTGCTAGGTCAGATGGCGCTAAGGGTTACCTCGAACTGGACACAGCCGGACAGTGCATCACAATAAGAGGGCACGAGAAGTACTGCTCTGAAGCTCAAGAGTGTCTTCAGAACATCGTCAAGTAGCAGGTAACAAAGCTGTCTCGAAAGGACAAGGAGGCCTTTCTCACACCCCGAAAATCACCCTACAGCGATCATCCTGTGCTCGCCGTTATTGGCGTAGGAGGTCTCGTCAACGAAGTTCTCTCACCAGCGACCTTTCGGACTATAGTTGCATATGACGTGAGGATGCCCCATGCAAGTTTTCGCAAAAGGGTCAATGATTTGGGAGAGATAGTGCAATACTGGTACATGAACCAGGAAGCTACGTTCGAGATCACTTACAAAACGGCGAAAGAAGCAAACCACGCCTACCGCGCCCTTTCTGAACAAGGCAGTGATTTAAAGGTATATGTAAAAGGAGAGTCTCTTGATTACCGGGAAGAGCAAAGGGCGCGGAGACCGGCGTTCCACGTCCAGATCTCCCTACCGCGTCGTCTATGCACAGGTACTGCGTTCGTCCACCTACCCGACCAGGCATCGTTCAACCGCGTGGCGGGGCGGCTGCCTCTGGCAGTCCCTTTAGACAACACCACAGTTACCATTCATCGTGACAAGAAGGTACCTTGTCAATTATACATTACAGGCTTGCCTCCGACGGTGAGCCAATCGACGCTGTCGGGTCTCATTCGTGAGTCGCTCTCAGCGGACGTCAAGAGTGTTGGCCTCGTCCGCCAAGCTGCATACAACACTGCTCCCGAGAATCTGCGAACATTAGGAGATGCTGTACAGGAAGTGTTTGACGAAGAGCTCGGCGAATGCTGTCCAAAGCTTGTCCTCAACGTCCCGAGGCCCGAAGACTATGTCGAAAAGGGCTGGATGTCGTTCGAAGATCCTGTACGGGCTCAGGGCGCTTGCACGCTGCTCAAAGGCTCAACCGTTACTGTCAACCACAGCGGAGATGGCAGGAGTGCCACGTTGCCGATGGCAATACATATTCTTATGGAAGATACGCTCTGCTTCCCACGCTCATTCTTCGAGGCAATACAGGGCCGAATCGAAGATGAGTTCCGTCGTCAAGAAGGGTTGCGACAGGAGGATAACTTTAAATGCGACGCTACACCTTGCGGTGATGCGGTACATGTCAAGCTAAAGGCCAACAACCTAAGCGACTTTCACAAGGCTGTTCATCTTTTCAACAAACTGCTTCTCGGCCCCGACGTCCCTCGCGTCGACGGTCGCGTGTGCCCTGAGCGAATTACGGAAGTGCTCAAGGCTGTGGCACCTGGTGGTGGCATCTTCGTGTACCGCAAGTCCGGCGAATCTCGGTTGGTCGGTGACGCACAGCTCATCCAGTCAGCAAGCGACATGCTAAAAAGGCACACCAACGCCTGGGTAAGTTCAACAACCTACTGATCCGACCTTTTAGCTGGGCCGACCTTTTACGATTCCACGTTGCATCAATTCATTGCTCAGATTATAATGCAAAATTTAAACGACAAGTTTAATAGATAAGCCAGCAACCCCAGCGGTGGCGTTTTCGACTTATCAAAGTCAGTCAATGTTGCAGCGTGAGGAAATGTGGGTGTGGATTTGTATATACACGCAAACGGACTCATAAATGTTTAGTGTGTTACGAGTATACAATGCACTCCACAGGCCAATGTTCACCAGTGCCACTGAATAAATATGCAAACAAGGAGGCCCGCATCACAATTCGGTGCGGCTTGCGATGCGCGTACTGCGTTGGTCATTCCGTACACCCGTGAATTTCTATTGGTTGGTGTTGACGAACTATAATAGCATATGTGATGTATAGCTTTAAAAGCATTTCCTGACGCACAAAAAAGATATTCTGATTGTGCGCTAATTTTATAGGTGCCATCCACTACACCATGACCCGTACACTTTCTTACAGGTGCTGAAATTAACTCTGAAATACGAGGGCTGAATGCATCTATGGAAGGATGTCATAGTTCGCATGTCGTGTATAATCATGACACATGTTTTGTTCTCAAAAACGAAATATACGCCTATCATAACAAGAGTTATTTTTTATTACCCTTGGTGCCAAAGACAAGCTCTAGATGAGCAGCAGTAGACTGCCTTTCTTAAGATTTCCCCCCAGGCCGTACATTGTCAACAGTTCTTTATCTTCATACGCAGGAAAAGCGACAGAAGAAAAAGCTACCACTAGTAGGCGAAGAGTTTACTCTGTTGAGGTCATACATAAACACGCTGGGTGACGACCCTTGGTATCTGGCCAAGGAACGCAAGCTGGACGCCGCTACCTTTGATTGGCAATTTGAAGCAATCGAAATTCTCGGCACGGAGGCAGCCGTAAGAGAGGTGAGCCATCATTAATCGCGGTAATCAGTAAAACTATGGTAAACGAAAAATGTAGGCTTTTCAGGTATGGAACGCATGTTTGATTTACAGGGGTCATTCTTAGATTCTCTTGTTGGTATTTCCCGACACCAAATAACACGGAAGAATTCGCGATACAACTGACCATACGATGTAACTAAATAGTAAAATTTGGAAAGTTGATCATTGTGTAACGCGAAATGAGCTTCACGCTTTCTTGCTAGTGGCGTATCCTTTGTGTTATTGGAATTTTTAAGCTTTTGATAATGCTTTCTCATAATATACATTTATTTTATAGGTTACTCATTAAAATAAGTTCCAACTGTTGTGTGCTTGCCAGGTTTGACAGGTAAACATCACCTCCAAAGCGAGCAAAAGGATGTCGCGTTTCAGAAGGAACGAATGAGTGACCAGAGTACGGCCTGTTTATTATCGAAAAGCGCTATCCCTTGCTGAATACATTACCGCTGGCTGTGGCTTATGCTTCTAGGACAATGAATGGTACAAAGAGAAATAAAAGTATGTTACATTGCTAGAATTGCGAACGGCCAATACTTCAAACACATTTGGCATTCCAACGGGAAATGGCACTCACAATTTGCATTGGTAAGTGTTGTAAACATCAGCGAATATTTGTTGAAGACATTTGAAAATTCTGATTAAAAACTCAAACCAGGCTGGTAACGATGTCGAAATGCTGAGCTTTAAGTATACAAAATATTCTGCTTTGTTTCTTTCGTCACTGTAGTCCACGTCCGGCTGCGTGCTCATGCTGGTTTCTTGATCCTCTTTCAAACATTCGCGCGACGTATATTGCATTGCTTGCTGTTGCCTGATTTGTGTGAGTATGAAAACGAGACAAGATGTCTAGTATCTGTAACCGGATACATTGTGCTTTGGTCGCATTTGCAGCTGTGTGTACGCGTCGTAACTCCACACGTCAGCGGATTTCTACCTGTATATCGCAATGGCTGGCAGGTACTGTAAACTTGAATCACATGCACATTAGCTGCCCGATTCCTAAGAACGCGTTCGAGACCGCGACCTCGCCAGAGTCTTGTTGCTTGACCAACCTTTCACCTCGACCCCACGTGCCTTTGCAGCCATCGTTGCCCTCCCAAGATAGCTATTTCTAACATTTCTACACTTTGCTTTTCATGAATACTTCTGGCGGTTTATACTATAAATTCACACTCTCTAGACGTTGAGTGTAGTTTGCTGTCTGTCTGATGCAGGCGGAGCAACTTGTAAATCAGCTGCGAAAAGTTCGACTGGACGCGAGATTGACGAACGATGCCGAAGGTCGCTGTCCGATTTGCCGAGAACCACCAAGCACTGCTCAAGAGGACGGGGCATCAACGTCCGGGCACCGCCTTGAGCTGTGCGGCCATTGGCACTGCGGGGCGTGCCTGCTTCTAGCCCTAAAGAGAGCTCCCCTGCCGCTGGCGTGTTTTGAAAAGGTTCGTACTGTGCTGAGTAGCATTCTTTTCATCGAAAATTTTCTTTACTGTCATTTAGCTGACAGCATAATTATACAGCTGCACATGAAGTGCACGCACGAAGATCCATAAACCATGGTTGAACCCCCCTCCCCCATTCCTGAAAAAAGTTTCTGGCCACTCTAGTGCCTCGAAAGTAAGTTTCGCCACCTTAACGTATGCATTGCATGCCTTTTCTCCTAAATATTTCATCCAACGTTGTTCTAACCATTACTACTGCTGCTTTGTCTTCATCGTTTGATGTCACTGTCTTTTCTAGGTTCTCATGTCGCATGAAAGCATTACTGCCCCTGTATATCAAGCTAAATTATTTACATTAGAGCTGCGCTATAGTTGCATTCTGCAGAGAACTGTAACGCAGTAGGTAGAAAAGACTTTCTGGTTGCCGGCATAGTAAGTCTTAAAATGTAGCAAACATTTCTTACAATGTTCTTTTCATTCCTTTTGGTCAGATAAACACATAACCGTCCGTACTACGTTCTCGGCATTTCCAGGGCTGCGCGTCACCGTGGGCGATAGCCGACATCACCCACGTGACAGGCAACAACCATGAACTTCTGAGCGACCTTGCACGAAGGTCCTTTGAGGGGAGCGTCGCAGCTGACTCGGAAGGAAGATGGCTGCCCTGTCCGACACCCGAATGCCCCTTTGCACTGGGTTCCAAACGGGACGCAGAGGCACAGGGCGTGCACGTAATCGGAGATGTGCACGTCTGTCCCGGATGCACAAACGCCGTCTGCTTCCGGTGAGTGCCACGTCGACTGCTACGTGTGCCACATGCTCAGCGATTGAAAGACGCTTCACAGCGCAAACGCGAATGGCAAACACTGACAATCAGCTTCTTTACATAGAGCCAGAACAACATTGTCCATAGTCGTAATGTCTTTAGTAATGTGCGACACTTGTTCTGGGCTAGTTGAACACAGGGCAGTATCGTCCGTCCCCTTTATAGAAAGCGGCATCATAGTCGTTCCACGTCTAGTAGTTCATCGGCAGAGTAATAGAAAATGCTGATAATCTTCTTCATGTTTACATGCAGGTGCCAGTCACTGTACCATTACGGAATCTCGTGCACTACATTCAAAGACTTCATGTGTCCGAATGGTGCAAACGACAAGGTATGCGACTATTGTTAAATAATGAAGACGTCTCGCGCTTGTATTTGTACACTTACGTCAACGTTCCACGTCATTCTGCATAAGCGAGAACAAATCTCGTTGAATCCTAACTTTTCCTTTTTTTTATCACGAACTTGTTTTATGCTGGGACCCACCAAAACTTCAATTGCGTATTTCTGGCACGGAAGTGAGTCGAAACTGCGCACGATCAGCAGGCAAAGAAAACTATTCCGTCATCGGGGCTCGAACCAGTGACGTTTATGTTTGGCGGCAAGAGATGCCAGGCACGCTATGAACTGCCGCATGATAACTTTTTTTTTTTATTCCTTTGCAACCCTGCGGCATGTTCACATACTTCAAACCCATAAATAGAAATAAAATCACAGCATATGCACGGATTGAAGGATGATTGGTGGGGAAGCGTTCGTCCTCCGTCCTTGCGTCCAACCGTGTGTCCATCCATCCGTGCAACGGCCAGTGAGGCCGTTCGTCCATTCTTTCGTTCGTCTCTCTGTCTGTCTGTCTGTCCATCCATCCGTGCATCTGTTCGTGCTACCATCCCTCTGTCTGTTTGTCTGCTCATCCGTGCGTCCGTCAGTTCATCCATCTGTCCGTCCGTCCGTCCGTCCATCTGGTGAACACTCCAAGTACCACCATCTCAGATCTTTTCATTATATACAAGTACCGCTATCCACTGGACATTTAAGGACCGCTCTCTCGGGTATGTGCCACAGGTGTTTACAAATGATAAAGGGAGACCGGTTACAAATGATAATGAGAGCGGGTGCTGCCATAAGGAGCTCGCTCCTAAAAAATGCGTCTTTTGGATCTACTTCGGTCTTCAGCGTCCTAGGTAAAGTGCAGCATGACGTCATGGCCGTGCGTGGTATCCGCGATTACTTCCTTCAACGCCTCGTTTCTAAGCATCCTTTTTTTTACTTACTTATGTGATTCTTAAAGAGAAAAGAAGAGAAAAGTGAGCCCCGTAACTGTCTGCATCAGAGTGCGACACCTCAACCGTAGCTCACGAGGGATGGGGGTAAAGGAAGGATTAAAAGGATATGATTAAAAGCAAAGAGAAGGAGAGAGAGGAAGGAGAGAGCGAGGCGTCGGTACAGCGAACGACAGAAAACGACGGAAGTAAAGAGGAGATAGGAAAGATGGACACGGCCGCAGGAGTCCGAGGACGGGCACCACTCGGCGAGAGCTCTTGTCGGCGTCAGGAGATGGCGTAGGGCGAGCACAGTCGGCCAGAGCTGCGCGGTCGTCGGAGATCGCGGGGGCACAACCAGTCGGCACGAAATCCAGAGAGCGAGTCCAAAGCATCCTTCTCATTTGGTGCGTCTCTAACAAAAGTACGTTCAACTTTGTCAACGCCAAACATACCCCTCTTACTCCAAACGTCAGAGTAACTCATGGCAATCATCCACACCCAAAAATAGCTCTTCAACACGTACAGCAACGCGCCCGTTTCGTCTAGATGTACGAACTCTGTGTTCTACGCTTACGCTCAACACGCAAAAAAATTGTGGCCGGCCAATAGAAAAAACACAACGTTCCTTACATTTCCCTCTGGTAGGGCCATGGCGTTCAATACCTCCAACATGCCGCGAGTAGACAACACTATCGCAAGTTCGTCGTCCAATCAGCCGCGGTATTCTGGCTGTCACATCGCTTTCTCTAGTTCCACACTCACCTATGACCACAATGGCTTGTTTAATCATTACTGATGGATGTTAGTTGTCGGGATGGAGATGTATGACTAAGCGTTAACGTGAATGCATCCGCGTTAAGCAGTGTTATAACTGTCGAACACCAAGAGACATTGCAGAAGCTCTGTTATATCAATGAACAGTAGACATTAAAATACTTCTGTAAGGCCACGTTTTACTTTCGGGTTTCAGACATTTATATGACAGTGGAATCCAGCATGCGTTCTTTCCAGTGACAGTGGTGGCCTCCTGGCCTCGCAATCACACACTAAGAGCTCTTGTTATCAAAAAGAGGTGATGCGTATATACAGTAGTCACTTAGCATAGCACCCTAGAGTCTGGTATCTAGTCCAGTACTTTTGATAAACTCTAACACAGCCTTTGTAGCAGTTTTCGACGCTGTTTGGTCGTTCATTGATGACAGCATGTGGCTTTCACTCGATGGCGTTCATCCTTCATCCTTCATCTCTCTTTCCTTCCTCCTTCCTTTATCCCCTATGTGGAGTAGCAGACTAGAGCGAACTAGCTCAGGCTGACCTCTCTGCCTTATAATAAATTCTCACACACTCTCTCTCTCTTGTAATCATTTGCTAGGATCGACTAGTGGTTAAGATTGCCTAAACAATTAAGAATGATGGCTGGTGCTGACGAAATGATCACTAATGTTTCCAATTATTGACTTGCCAACGGTTGGTTGGTTGGTTCATCAACACCTTGGCGCAACCCACCTAGGGGGATAAGCCATGAATGGGACGGTGCCTTGCTTTTTAAATTATTTCACTTCTTGAAAGGGAGGGTTGGATTAATTAGGTAAAAAAGGTAATAACTTAAAGGTGTTAAGTTTCTAAACAAACAAAAAACCTTGAAAAGGAAAACATAATAAACAAACACAAAAAGAAAAAAATTCTATTCATAAAAGAACTGAATTTATTTATGTTTAGCATTCCATTCTTTTAGATTCTCGTAATAAATTTGTAACAACGGTAAAACCACTCCTGTGGCTGAAACCAAATGCGACTGCGCCAAATGAAAGAATCACCAGAAGTGTCAAGTTTAAGTCCAACTTTCGTAGAGGTTCTTTTAGTAGATTTTTTCTTTGACTTTTTTAATTTTTTGAAGCACAAAAAGAAGTGCTTTAAAGATTCGCTCTCATTACAATAAAGGCACAAAGGCGACTGTGTTAGACTCGACCTGTGAACATAAAAGTTCAATGAAGCGACTCGACAATGCAGCCTTGTGATTATTATTTCTTCCTTTCTTGAGGAACACCACTTGTTATTCCAAGGGAACTTTAGCTGTGGATTGTCTGATTAAAACAAAGAAGACTTTTCGAAGTTATTTGGCCATTGTGCGTTTTTCAAAGCGTGCTGCTGTGATATATTCTGAAGTAGGCAAAATAGGTAAAACAGGACAATCAAAGGAAGATACAGCTTGTGCATCTGCATGCTAATTGAGAGCTAAACCTCCATGGTCTGGTACCCAAACTAGTCGAACGAGTCGCACATGTCTAGGCATGAGTGAGTAGAAAGTTTCTACGGTACGCGAAAAAGTTGGTGGGCTTAAGGCAGTACAGACCGAGAGACAGCCTGTTAGAACAATAACCGCTGATAAATCTTGGGGGCACTTTACGCAATGCTAGGACTATTGCCAGTAACTCAGCTTGATAAATAAGGGTAAAGTCGGGCAATCGCATTGAGAAAGCCCAATCTAGAGAGGATGATACGATTCCTACGCCAGCCTTCGCTTCATAAACTGAAGCGTCAATCGCTATTACAATGGATGTTTCTAGATTGGCCAAATTATCTTTCAAAGTGCCATTTATATATTGATATGGTAAGTTGTCGCATTCTCGGGATATATATTATCAAATTCAAGCCTCATTGCATCTGCAGTGTTGAGTACAAGTATTTACCAAAGGTTAACTCTTAAGGGGTCTGAAAGCTTCTGTGTAAATATTACTTGAGGGCACCGTAATTTAGACCATAAGTGGTTGAAAAATGAGGTCTGCTGGTTAATGAACACATACTGTGACCTCCTCTGAGGTGATGCTTAGATTTTAAGGAATGTTCGTACTGTTAGAATATGAAATTTTTTGATAAGAGAAGGCAGGCGGGATTCTTCGTATAGGATATTGTTTGCAACATATTTAGGTAGCCCTATGCATAAGCGTAATGATTCGCGTTCTAGCAGAATCAGTGGTCGAACTCTGTAGGCCGGAGCGCTAGAAAACAAAACACAGCCGAATTCTAGTATCGGTCGAATGTGTATGCAATATATCATGACGAGCACGTCTCTACGCACATCGGCACGATAATTACTGAGCCTGCGCAGCATCCCTACGGCACGTGCTCCTTAGCAGTCATGTTTTTTTTTTTTATGTGGGGACTCCAGTTAAGTGTTTCGGTGTAGGTTACCCCCAAGTACCTGACTCGACCTGAGGTACGGCGTCTTGTCGGTACAGTGAAATTCGCACTGGGGCATTTTGTGCGCGAACTATGACTGTGCTTTTGTTAATATTGAGGCATAAGTTGAGATCCTCAAGCCACGTTTCCAGGCTATTCACGTATGTCTGCAGAGTCAGGTACAGTGTGTGAATGTCCCCGGACGCAGCAAAAAATGCGATATTATCGGCATACACATAGACCTGTACATCTTGCTGTATGGGAATGGTAGATAGTAGTGCATTAAATTATAAGGGCTATAGTACTGACCCTTGCGGTAGACTTCTCGTTTGCCTATATATTCAAGATTTGACACCAGATAGCGAGCCGTAAAATTCTCCATCACCTAAAAAGCATGGACTCAGGTTTCAAAGTATTCAGGCAGTCCTAATTTCTGAAGCGAATCTAGCAGTTTCACATGCTCCACGCTATCAAAGGCTTTTGTGATATCTAAGGTTACCAAAGCGGAATATTGTTTCTGATGTCGAGCAAGTTGAATTCTGCTTTCGAGATCCACGTGCACACATCAAATGGAGCAACCACGCCTGAATCCAATTTGACATGGGCTCATTGTCATTTTTTCCTATATCCATCGTTCTATACGTCTATATAAAATTATTTCAATGAGTTTTACTAGGTTCAAGGTAAGTGCAATGGGCCTGATATTATCTAAGGTAAACCCAGCGCCTTGCTTTTTCAATTATTGAATCACTTTTGCCATTCTCCAATCGGGTGGAATCCAAGAGCTTCTAAGTGAGTGATTAATAATTTCGGGTAGGCCAAGTGTGTATATTTTATGTACTAATTTTATCACCGTCGTCGTCATGCCAACAGGAGCAGAATAGGGTAGTGTTCTGACTACGTTTGCTAGTTCTGCAGGTGCGACCCCTTCAAAATTCTCTGCCCTATGGTAGGACTGGGCTTGGTATGAGAAAATTGTCGTAAAGCGACTTTTTAGGCCCTGAGCTATATCTTTTAGAAAGGCCTTCAGTTGAACAGGTGATGATACTACACATTCTATATTTCTTAGTACCGGAAGAACTTTCTTATTTCTCAGAAAGCGAAAAAGTGCTTTTCTACTGACCAACTTTGAAAAGAACTCTCATCGCTTGTTGTTACATTTGTCCTTCGCATCAGCAATGGCTCTCTTAAAAATAGTTGTCACATACTTATAATCACTGCAGTTCCTGGGACACTGGTTTAAAATTAATTTTTTTCATGCAGCTTTTCTTAGTCTATAAGCCCGCGAACAGTCTGCATTCCACCAAGAGTTGGTAGAAGGTCAACCAATGGCCTAAGGCCGATTTGTCACGTGCTGGGCAAATTATGGTGAGTTCTGACTTAAATCGGTTGACTTAGGCTGCCTATTCTTAGGACAGCAACTCTGTCTTCAATCAATCTCGATCTATTCATGCTCTGACATGCGCACAAACAATGTGAGGTGCTATGGTTCATATTTTTTATATGTCTTCGTTTCGGTGGCTCATGCTACTTTCAATACATCTATAAAATATGCATCATAGCGGATCTTGGCATTTTTCGCACATCTAGAGGAAATTTCCAGGATGATGACGCAGTTACACGCTCATACGCGTGCTTTACGTTTAAAAAGTATTTTGCACAGCCTCGGTATATTATGTCGTCAATGGTGCACCTCCTCGAGTTATATTCCCATACTGCCAAGCCTTGTTATAACTTCTATATAGGCGGCTATTTAGGCATCCGCTTTCAGTACGCGAGGAACTAAGTATAACTTACAGTGCCAGCCGTCCCCCAACGGTTACTAATGGGTGCAAGCGGGCCTCGTGGTGGTGCTGTGACGCCGCAGTGCTCAAAGTCCCTAGAAATAACCAAAGTATCGCCATTCGTGTCGCCGTGCAGGCTTCTCATCTTCCGCACGCTTGGTAGCTTTGGTAGTGCAAGTGCAATTTTGTCTGTCCTCGGTCACATGTTAAATACGAAGCATTTCTTAGCGAACTTCGGCGACCTTGAACGTATCTATCTATCTATCTATCTATCTATCTATCTATCTATCTATCTATCTATCTATTTATCTCTCCATTTATCTATCTATCTATCTATTTATCTAGCCGCCTAGGACCTTTAGCTCTTCTGGCCGCTTCGATAGTGGTATTGACACCAAACTTCGTATGACAACATGAGTGTATGAAAAACATATTTGACTAATCATGACATAAAAGTCATGACATGTATGTCATGAATCTCATTATTTACATTTCATGGTCCCGCAGCTCTTGCGATGCCTTCGTTCACATGGCATGTTGCAAAACTGGTATGGTATGACATGATTGCATGGTGAACACAAGTGACAGACCCTAACATGAAAATCACGACATGCGTGTCATGTAACATTACTACAAGCCACGCTCATGATTCACTCGAGCCCGTTTCGCTAGCGTCCCATATACGAAATTCGGTATTGTGGTACCTTAATTGATGACCAAGGTATGTGACTGGTGCAAACATGATAATCGTTATATGCGTGTCATGTAACATGACTACATGCCACGCTCATGATGCCCTGGCGGCCGTTTCGCAAAGTTCACTTACACCGAATTTGGTATTACGGGACGTGAATGGATGACGAAGGTATGACACTGGTGCGAACATGATAAACATGAGGTGCGTGTCATGTAACAGGACTACATGCTACGCTCATGATGAGCTCGCAGCCATTTCGCTAGCTTCACATATACAAACTCGGTATTACTTGACCCGAATGGATGACATAGGTAAATGACACATCCAAACATAATCACGATATGCGTGTCATGTAACAACATGACTACACGCCACACTCATGATGCGCTCGCGGCCGTTTTGCAAACTTCGCATATGGCAAATTTGGTAGTACGTGACGTCAATGGATGGAGGAGGTGTGCGACTAGTGCAAACGTGATAACCATGAGATGCGTGTCATGTGAGAACATGACTACACGCCGCAGTCAAGGCGCCAATACATTTCGATGTGACGCTGTGCGCGTGCTCGCCGGCGTTCATTTCGTCGCGTCACGCCGGCATTGCGACGCCAGGCGCCGGTCCTGCCATATACTCGCACGCGTGCGCTGCGCTGCGTTACTTTGACGCATGCGCGTTTCAGCGCGTCCGGCATCCCTCCGTCACGAAAAGAGGGAGACGCAGTGTTGTCTTGGTAACGCATCGGCGTGAATTTCGTGCTGGTCACGCCGGTAGCACCAGGCGTCAGACTATAGAGTGCTCGCGTTTTGCTAACGCAGCGTCGCTGTGATCAGCGTGCGCGCGCGTCAACGCTACATTGGAGTATATTGGGCCCTTCATGATGCGCTCACAGCCATTTTGCTAGCTCCACATACACCAAAATTAGTGTTACGTAACGTCAATTGATGACGAAATATATGATAGGTGCAAACATGATAATCCTGACACGCGTGTCTTGTAAGAACATGACAACATACTACACTCATAGCCTGCTCGTGGCCCTTTCGCTAGCTTCACATATATTAAATTTGGTATCACGTGACGCGAATAGATGACGAGATATATGATTGGTGCAAACATGATAATCCTGACACGCGTGTCATGTAGGAACGTGACAACATACCACACTCATAGCCTGCTCGCTGCCCTTTCGCTAGGTTCACATATATTAAATTTGGTATCACGTGACGTGAATAGATGACGAAGGTAAACGACCCATTCATACATGATAATCATGACACAGAAGTCCTGTACGGCATCATTTACCTTCACCTCGTAACGTTGTGTGAATTTTAAAGTGACATATCAACCTTTCTTATTCGTGCTTCGCATATCATCGATTCCCACAGTACGTGGGAACCTCCCTGTCATTCCTCTTTCAATCCTCCTCCTCCCACAGTACGTGGGATCTGCCACCTTTTTTTATGGACTGAAGCAGTGGTGGGAAGCTTACAACGCTTGGAGGACTCCCAATCTGCTGCATGGTACCAACGACTTCTAGCTGTCTCCGCAGCGATTTGTGCACGCTCTCTGTGTGCACTTAGCCTTGTTTCCGCAAAGCGCAGTACAAAAATTGTTTCCTTTATTAAAGCACTTGCCGTACATCAAGCATCTAATACAGAAATCTTCAAGTCTATCCTAATCTGTCATTGTGGTCGCAGTCATGGCTCAGCAAAGATCCGGGAATGCGAGCCCTCTGCCCCTCATGCAAAGTGCGACTGGAACGGAACGCCAACAAGAAAGTGGGCGCCTGTTGGTCCTGCCGACGCCTGTTTTGCTGGCGCTGCCACCGTAGCTTCGAGGACGATGCCGCTGCTGCCAGGGGTCACCGCAAACAGTATTGTCAGCTGGCTCTGCCGCTCGGTAGTGACACGTGTTGCATCATGTGACATCTCTCTGCCTACTACGGCGGGGTCTGTGTCCCTACGTGGTTCAAGGCTTGTTCAGCCTTGTACTTCTACATGCCTGTGGTAATCGGCCTATTCGCGGTATAAGTAGTTATGGCTTTGGTCTTGTACCAGTTCAAATGGCGCTGAGAGTAGGTATGACTTTGTGCTTAAGCTCGAGTGCATATTCACGCCAGGTTCAAGATTGTCTGTGATTGCAACGAGTTTGCGTGAATCGCTTTCGCTTGACTAAATTTGTCGCGCAAACTCTTTCGCAAAAAACGGTTGTCCCAGTTATGCATGTTGAGGAGTATTGTGCGTTTAATATAAAAACCTGTCGCGTCAACATCACTATATTTTATGACATGAAATCGCACGTCACTCGGCAATGTTACCAGAACAGGACGTCGCTACAAATATTTATCCATACTACTCTTAAATGACAGAGCTGTTTGCTCATGTTTTGGCTTTTATTACAAATATTCAGTACAAAGTGTCGGCTCGTCCAGCAAAAATGAATACTCGAAAAAAGACGATGTGCTTATTGTAGCGGTAAACAGCGAGTTCGCTATAACTTTGCCCTGCTTCAAGCTTGCAAATACGTGGACAAGCAGCGAACTCGTCATGTCGGCGTGTTATCTGAATTGAAGATTTACAAACTGGGTGTGTCAATATTTCTCGCAAGCTATTGGCAGGTGCAGGGTTGGTAAAATGTTCCCAGGCGCGATGCCTTAAGATTAAATGGGACAGCTGCCTGTGAAGTTTTTATCTTTCTTGTACACCTTTAGCGCTATGACAACTCCTCGAAGCACAACTCAAAGATAACTGGTGCGTGTTTATCAGTTTAGCTTTTGATTTCTTGCGAATGGTCCACTGCAGAAGTTGGAATAGTCATGTACTGTTCAGTGATTTCGACCAGGGGCTTGCAGGCGCTACGTCGCTTCGTGTACTGGTAACTGTTGTATATACATGTCCATAATAATGTGGTTGTGCTGTAAGCGTATATGCTTTCCTTGCCTTGCTTAAAATGGAACATTCGTACGTCCCAGAAATCAATACATGATTATTCAGCGATGAGCACGATGCGCCGTGCTATCTATCAGCTACGCCTGTTCCCTTGATCAAAACCAATCGCGAGAGATAGTCACAGGGAACATATATTTTAGTGTAAAAGAAGCATAGTGGTATGCTGGAGCTATTTCGCTCGTTCAAAACCGTTTACTACGCGAAGGAGAAAGAAAAGGAGGGAGAGAAAGAGATAAGGCTTCGAGGTGCAAATACCGCGAATGCGTATATAAGCGCATGATCTACACGCCGGCGCATCGCCATGTACACGGTGCCTGTCACGATTTGATTGAACGTGCAGCCCGTGTTATCTTGGACTATTATCCGCAAACAATAGGCCGCGCTATTGATAAAACGTTGACATAAGACTGTACATGATGAGAGCGCAAAGAGTGTGGTCGTCGCATTGACCAAGGACAGTTCTTCATGGATAATTAATAACTGAATGCTGGAAACAGTGCCGAATTGATGCAGTGCCAATTCGGTAGCAGTAACGCCCTCTGTACTTTTCGCGCGCGAAATGAGGAGCGCGTGTTTCGCACATCTGCCCGTCCGAGGAGTATGTGACCTTGCTTTGCGTTTTTCAGCTGACCCGACTTAAGTTGAGCGGCAATCAGACCCAAGAGTAATTGTGCGGGTGTGTTTCAGCGTGTGCTATTGTATTTGTACCGAAAAAACTGATAAGGTGCTAGTATGAAATTATCTTCAGCGGACAACACGTGATGGTTTTCAGGCTTAGGTGCGTAGGCATATGGTTCTGACGTCAAACTTTGTGGCGTATACAGGCCATTTATTTAGCTTTCTTTATAAATAAGTGTTTATGCTCATTGCGGTATGACATGGCTCACCGAGAGCTTGAACATTCTAAAACAAAACTTTTTTGACATTCAGAGTTCTCCAGTTGTTGCGGTATAGATCAAGTGTTAGCGATAGGGCATGCATGTATAACTCGACCAAGCACTTATTGTCCTCCCATTTTACGGGCATCGGTCGATAAGCGAAGAGCGCAAATATCGAGCGGTCGCAAAAAGCTCAGTGAGAGCGCCTTGCGCCATCTTGATTGGTTCTACTTTTGTCAGTAATTCATACCTAAGTGCCCCCTTTTGGAAGGGTTGATGTAGTCCTCTTCAGTCACCGAAATATTATGGCGACAGGCTGCATTCCGCTCATGTGAGATACGGACTTTAATCAAACAGTGAACCATTGTGCGGAATCACCCTTAACGGTGTAATGCAAACAGTGCTGAAGTTCACGAGAGGACAAATGCTTGTAGATAAGTTTGAAAAGAGCGCTGCTGTGGTCAGTGTTCAGACAAGCGGCCCCGGCAAAACAGGTTCCCATGTCGGAGCATTTGATCCAGCGACTTCACTTGTTTGACAACTTGTTTTCTTTATATACTGGAATGCTGTTTCAAAGCTATGTATTCCGAAATATATTCGATTCTATGAAAAAGTTAAGGTCGATCACTTGACAATCACTTTTAGTAGCTTCAATAAACACCACGTTTTTCTCGCTCTCTCCCTCTCTTTGAGCTTTGCGAGACAATCGAAGCATCTGCAAGCCAATTAAGTAACATATACGTTTCGGGATACGGTTAACTGCATTTGTGCCTTTCTTTTTAGAAGAAACCTAACTACGGTCATGCACCGTACTCAAAATGACGGGCATCGTTACTCGTTCATGTACGAGCTGTTTATTAAGTCAAAACTTCTAACGTCATGAACGAAACAAGAGTGGCACTTGTGCTTGAACGCCATACAGCCATTTATCTCACCTTTCTGAGTTTTTTTTTTCTTGAAAGAGTCTCGATGTTCTTGCGTCATAACGAAGTTGTCAGGCTTTAAGTGGCAGTGGTGTAAACATTCAGAGTTTACCTAATATACACTTCCCTGTCTCTTTCACAAAATTTCGAGGTCTTAATTGAGAGGAACATCAGGCCACCGAATGCAATAGCATTCGCATTTGCTGCGTAAGAAATAGCGGGCGCATAATCATCATGTCCACCTGTTCTCATTTGTAAGGTCAGTTGTAGGGTAACCAGTCGGGTAGGCTGACTTGACCGGGATTTCAATGTAACGTAATTCAATGCGAGAGAATCGTCATATTACGTTTCGCAGAGCGCGATTATTTTGCTCCTGCAAAGCTGATGCTCTGAACAGTTGTAAAAAAAAGAAATAACTAGCCAGGATTGATTCCGGGGACCTACATACATGCACACGCAAAGAAGAGCATTCGTAAATGAAGCCATAACAGACGAACTGTACTCTCTTGCTGGTCTGTTCAACGCCTACGCCACAAGAACACGTTAAAACAGGCTTTGTAGTTGTTCATATGTGTGGTAGCCTAAAACACTACTCAGTGAGCGCGCCGGTGTCAGACTACTACTAATTATACATATGTCCCCTTCGCTATCGATAGCGATGAGAGAGCGAAGCATTGACCGCAGGTCGAGTAAAGATATTATTCAGATTCAGAAACATGCTCATTGGAAATATGAGATAACTACAGCCGAGCTATTATGGTGTGGCGGAAAGTGTGAAGAGTGGCGTGAAAGAAATTGCTAAAAACATGGGCGCGCAGTTTAAATAAAATGCTGTATGAAAACCGCAGCTATGACAACTCCTAATGTATTCAGGAAGACGACCCCACTTGAGAAATGCTCAACGACGCCCAATTTTTCTCAAGATGTATCTATACAGCTTGCCAGTTACGCGCATAAACGTACGTTCATTTTTGTTTTTGCTACCTGATGATATTATTCATTACGTGCTACTGCAAAGGCAGCAGTAAAGATTACTGATTGTGACAAAGATCTTGCATGCGTGAGTATCACATGCCATGACATGGACGCTCTGTCAATCCCAACGCGATATTGTAAGCAGGAAGTGCTGAAAACAATACTTGATAGCGCTAGCCCGTTCTTATAAAACCGAAACGTAGTACCTAAATCTGGTCTCTATTTGCTTGCACTGAGTTGAATATAGGCCGGCATGCCGGGTAATTGAGCACAACTAATGCGTGCTTTGACATTACACAACATATTTAGGAACTAAGGCTCCCTTCTGTTTATTTCTTTTTAATGCCAAAGTACCGAGCATGTCTTTGGTATTACACCTTTCGCAGAACTTTTAATGTGCAATAACTTAAGTAATTGTCGATATAAGGTTCTGGATATTTTCATTATTCCACCAGAGGGTCCTAACCAACTTTCATATGCCGAACACCACGAGCTGTTGATCTTTCGAGCACGTTTGCCAGTGTAAATTTATTATTTGTTTGTATGTGTCAATACTATATTACAATATATGTGATTAATTATGAATTCTTCTGGTTGATTACTCAGTGTGCAATCTGTGTCGTGATTAAGGCATGAATAGTAACTTCTTAAGGTGTTTAAATTATTGTTAAGCGAATTGTGGTGAGCATTGTGCAAGATTGTTGCAGTGCATCTGATTTATGGCAGCTACGGTATAAACAGCACCATATTGCAGTTTGCATTCCATTTTGCACTTCACTATCGAGTGATCAATTTTCGCAACGTAATTGCACACTGCGACTGCTCTGTCAGACCTTTCATAGCTTTGACTGAACGCATTGTGTCATAAGCTACATGTTATGTTAAAGAACAAACACTATTTCAAGCATATGCGTGCTCCAATTTTACGAACAGCAAGTTAGTACTACTCATGGTTCATGTTAAGAAAAGGACAAAAAGTAGTGATATCTTCATGGCCATGTGCTTTCTTTTGCATTTTTGTTTGTTTCCTATTTTGTTTGCTCTCAGACTTCGAGAACATGTTGCTAAATGTTTGGTATATTTGCCAGAAAGCACAATTGGTGCATCTTCAAAAGGGGCGTGTACACTTCGTCTTGTAGCTATTCCTGTTGTAGTGATTCTAGAATAAACACTTTATAATAACGTCTTGATAACTGTGTGGTAATTAACAGCACGCAGAGTGGTGCCTTGCGAGCTGCATGCGATTCGTGAGGACAATGAAACAAAGTTCTTGTATTCAGACAGAAATTCGAGCTGTCTGCTTACTACGTAAATTGCAGCAGCTGTGCGAATCGTCCACCAATTCACCCTGTGATTCATGAAGGACGTCTGCTGTCACATCACAATCAATCCCTCAACCAGATTAATATCATAACTATGTAACGTAAGTGCATGATACCTATTCAGAACTCGCAGGTGCAAATTTTTTTCATGTACGTACCTCTTTTCATCGACATCCTTCCCCTACAATATACGCTGGTCCTCTTTACAGAGTAAACCTGTAGCGGACGGTCCAGCACGAGTTCTGTACGAGTTCTTTATGTATCTACGTCATATTCATTGGACATGTCACGTGTAAATATTTTTTTTGAATATTAAAAGCTTATTTTGAAAACTAGGTGAGTGAAATAAGTGCTTGAATT